CTAAAACACTCAGCTGCACAGCCACAGAATGAGGGCAAGTCCAACAGTAGCCCAGAAGCCTGGTCTTCCTCTGAGTTATCTATGGACAGCCTCAGTGGTGGGGCAGAGGCTGGTCCTTCCATAAGGTCATAGACAGGAGCTGTTGTCCTCCTGCCTCCACCCCCAACCTTTCAGCCCCCTATCAGCTGCCTTGCTTCCCTGGATATACATGGTTATAGAGAGGGAGAATGTCTCGTCTCCATCTCACAGACATATCAGTGTGGCCAGTGATTTCCCCAAAGCAGGGCAGCACCTGAGCAGGAACACAATCAGAACCTCAGGGCCCAGGGCTGCCCTGACCCTGCTCTGGAAGACACATTAACTCCACCACCCCAGTGTTTTCTGATTCTCTTCTGTTCTGTTCTTAGTTCTCCACAAAGGAACATTCACAGTATCTGGCCCTCTGGTCCAACCCACCCTGGCCTGGGTGGGGGAAGATGTCCTGCTGTCCTGTCACCTCTCCCCTAAGATGGATGCTCGAGAAATGACTGTGAAATGGGTCAGAGGTTCACTGGTTGTGCACATGTACCGCATGGGGAATGAGATGGAGGAAGTCCAGGCCCCTGCATTCCAAGGGAGGACAAAGATGCTGAGAGAGGACATGGCTGAGGGGAAGGTGACTGTGAGAATTCACCTGGTCCAGCTGTCTGACACCGGCCTGTACACATGCTATTTCCAGGCAGGCATCTTTTACAATGAAACCAGCTTTGACCTTCAGGTAGCAGGTAGGCCCTCCCTTGGTCATGGGTTCTCTCTCCAGCTGGAAGAGACATTCAGAACATTGACATTGGCAGAAATCTTTAGAGTGTGTAAAGTACTTTCCATACCTTGTCTCGCTGGAGTCTCACAACTACCTTGTGGATTAGTATTTCTGTAACAGTGACTGCCTGTGCCCCCACTCACTGAAGACTGGTTCTGCAATATTTCAGCCCCTCAGGCTTCTCTCAAACATTTAAGGGGGTTTGAGGTTGTTCAGCCTCTCTATCATTGACTCAAGCCCCTTGCCGCAATGATGTTCCCCCAATATTAGAGATTCTTCTATATCCTTAGTCCACTTAACACTCCGTTTAGCTATTACACAGTATACAGTAAGAGTTAATTCTACAGTGTCACCAGAACAAACATTCAAATGTCACTTTCACTGACATCTGGGAATATTGTCCTCCCCACACAGGTCACTTCAATATCTGGAGAGTTTGGAGGTGGAGTGGGTTCAGGTTCATAGCTCAGCCCAGTTTCTACAATGTATAGTTTCACCAAGTTCCAACCCCCTTGTACTCAATTCCCAGGCATTCTGGCTTTTTTGGACTTCCCTTCTGTGCTGGCAGCAACATTTGGCCTTAATTTCTCCCTGTAAGGTCACTGTGGCTTTGGTCTGGGTGGAATGGAGAATTCATTATCTGGGCCTAGAAGTGAGAAAGACAAAGAAATAGACCCCACCCACACCCTAAGCCTGTTTCTGAAGGGCCATAGGGCCTAAACTGGAGAAGGAAATAGAGTCCTTCCTTACCTATCTCAGTTCATGGTACCTGTGCTGTGGGAGAGAATGCCCAGAGCAGAGAGATGGAGTGTTTTGTTTGTGGAATAGCCAGGAGGCCTGTGTCACTGGATTAAATAATATGTGTTGGGGAGTGAGATGTAAGAAGATTGGGATGGCAGGAGGGATTGGGGTGACAAAAGAACTTTGAATCCTGAACAGAGTATTTTGAATTTGCTCTCTGGGCCAACAGTAACCCACTAGAGTTTACTGAGGAGCACAGTGACATGATCAGACCTGCATTTTAGGGAAATCTCTTCAGTGACTGGATGGAGGGTGGATTGGAATGGGGAGAGACTTGAGACAGGCAAACCCAGCAGCAGACTACTGCAGTAATCAAGGTATGAGGAGCTGAGGGATTGCCCTAGAGTGGTAGCAGTGTCAGAGGAAAGAAAGGGGCCTCGATGTTCCAATGGTGAAATTGACAGCCTTAGCAACAGATTGGATGTTTGGTATGAGAGAGTGAGGAATCCAGGATGACTGCTAGGTTGTGAGGCTAAGGGGCTGGAAGGATGGTGTTGTCCTCTACAATCATATTGAAGGTAGGGTGCGGGGACAGTGTAGGGGAAAAAATTAATGAGTTGTCTTTTGGACATAGTGAGTTTAAGATGTCTACTGGACATCCAGATTGAGATGTCTGAAAGACAGAGTTCTGATAGTGGAAGTCAGTAGACAGACCTGGGTGGGAAAGGTAGGCTTGAGAATCATCAGCATAGAGACAGTAATTAAATCTATGGGAGCTGATGAGATAACCAAGTGAAGTCATGTAAAGGGAGAAGAGAAGAGCACTGAGGACAGAACTCTGAGAGAAACCTGCATTTAAAGGTATGATCTACATGAGGATCCAGCAATGGAGACAGAGAAGGAGTAGTCAGATAGGTAAGAGGAACACCAGGAGGGAGACAGGTATCCTGGAAACTTAGAGGGAAGAGGCTGTCAGGGAGGAAAGAGTGATTAACAGAGTCAAAGCCAGTAGAGAGGAGAAGAAAAAGGAAGACTGACAAAAGCCATTGGATTTGTAAACTTAAGTGATCACTAGTAGCTTTGAAGAGAGCAGTATCAGTGGAATGATGGGGTTAGAATCTGGATTGTAGGGGGTTAATAAGAAAGGGAGAAGTGGAGGTACCTATTGCAGAAGGCTTTTTGGAGGAGCTGAGCTACAAAAGGCAGGAGAGATGTAGGGGGTTAGGTACCAATTGATCTCTATCTTACAGATGAGGAAACTGAGGCAGACAGAGCTTGCCTTGCCCAGGTTTGCCTCCCTAGTAAGTGTCTGAGATCAGGTTGAAACTCAGGTCTTCCTGCCTCTGGCACCAGAGCTCAATCCACTGCACCACCTAGTCACCACATGAGCAACGGCACATTAGCTGAGGAGAGCTAGTGTCAGGAGATGCTGAGTGGTCCAGTCTAGCCTGAGCCCATAGTACCAGGAGTGCAGTCAAGTGCGATAGATGAGAAGGGTAGATGGCACCAGGTTGGAGAGGGTTCTGAATGCCAGGAGAAGTCAGAGCTTCACTCAGAAGGAACAGATGTTTCAAGGGAGGAGTGGTCACTTCTAGGCATAAATAACCTAAGCCTAGAGTCCAGGAAGACCTGTAAGTCAGCCAGTCAGGCCACAAGCATTCATTAAGGACTCGTGACAACTAGGTGCCAGAGTAGATAGTCAGACTTGGAGCTGGGCACATAGGAGTTCAAATCCTGCCAGACATTTACTAACTGTATGACCCTGTGCAAGGCACTTAAACTCTCTCAGCCTCAGTTTCCTCATCAGTAATATAGGAATGATAATAACAACTAGCATGTCTCTAGAACTTGAAGGTCTACAAAGCACTTTACAAAAATTCCTGCTTATTATTCTTAACCCTGGGAGGTAGTTTGACCAGTGAGCACACTGAGGCAGATACAGTTTTAAGTGATTTGGCCCATTTCAGAGTGCTAGAAAGTGTTTCAGGCTGAATTTGAGCTCAGGTTTTCCTGACTTGGAGTCCAGTGCTCGTTTCCCCACCTAGCACCTCTCTACCTCCTAGGGTTGTTAGGAGGATCAGTTCATTTGGCACCTTCTCTAGTCCAATCAGCATTAATCAGTTTTCTGTGATTCCATAGGAGTAGTGATTATGGGTTCTGGATCTCAGGCCCCAGAGCTAGACTCTGATGACTCTGGAAAGGAGAGTGAGGCTGATGCCTTTGAGCCACTCTGCCTTACTTAAATCCTGTTTATGCTCAAGACAAAAGACATCAATGATACCATTTTACCATTTTTGCCTACCTCAAAATCCTGTGGCAACAGGCAAGAGATGAAACAGTAGTTTTGAATACACTGGGAGCTGAAGTCACAGCCCTGTCCACAGGTGGCCCAGGCCCTTCTCACTGGACTGACCAGCAGTGGGATTCTACAGCCTCCTGGGTATCTGAGCAGCCTTTTTTAAGGACTGCACTGCTCACATCCTGGCATGAGGAAGGGGCTAAAAAAGGTGCCTTAAAAGTTGTCTGCTTCCCCTCAACCCTGGCCTGCTTCCTGAGGTAGGCGGGGATCCTACCTTGCAGTCAAAACACAGAAAAGAAAAAAAGAAACTTTTGTGAAGATGATTACACTCACCATCAGTACATGGAACATGCACACACTTACAGACAACATGAAATCCAGTAGACCAGAAAGATGAACAGCTCTTGTTGTGAGAGAACATGCATCTTGCCTTTCTGAACCCATCCCTAACACTCCAGCATCCAAAAAGCTTCCTCTCTTTCCCACCATGCAAAGTAGTCAAGAAAGAGAATGTCTTGTCTATGAGGGTGTCACAGGGAGGAAAGGGATTTGGCCCACAGCAGAGCAGTAGCTGATCCAGAAGTCAGACCTTCATCTGTTGCAGCCCTTCAGCCACACAAACAAATACTCTTAATCCTGGCCCTACACCGTCCTCTAATTTTCTTCTGTTTTGTCCCTAGAACGCCAGAAGCTACCATTGTCAGTGGCTGGCCCCGCTCAGCTCATTCAGGCCAAGGAAGGGGAAGATGTCACACTCTCCTGTGACATCTCCCCCACGATGGATGCTCGGGACATAACTGTGAACTGGTTCAGAAACCAGACCCTTGTGTACAGGTACCCAAACGGGGAGAACCTGGAGGAATCCCAGGGCACTGAGCTCCAGGGAAGGACAAAGCTGCTGAAACATGACATGGCTGAGGGGAAGGCGACCTTGAGCATACAGCAGGTCCAGGTCTCTGACTCTGGTCCGTACACATGCCAGATGCAGTCACCTACCTATCACAGTGAAGCCCACATTGAACTGCAGATAGCAGGTACGTGCTGTGCGGTGTATGGGTGTCTTCTGAATCTCAGATTGTTAGAGTTGGGAGAGATTTTAAAGAACATTGAGTTCAAAGCCCCTCATTTAACAAAGAGGAAAATGGGACACAGAGAGGGGAGGGACTTTGATCATACAATTTGGAAATGTCTGGGCTCAGAATCAGACTCGGCTCTTTTCATCCCTCCTCTGGCCATTTTCTTCTCCTTGACATTTCCCTTGGGTCCTGCAGGTGGGAAAGGACAAGCTCACTTTGGGAAGTGAACCTTGACTCCCGGCTTCAATCCTCTTTCCTCCCTTTGATCCTTCAGGTTTGGTGTTTTCCACTAAAAGATGATGCAGGCCTCCCCTCTGTCCTGGAGCTCAAAAATGGGGATGATTTTATTGTCTCTTTCAGAGACATCAGGCTTCACCTGGCCTTCAAAAGCCAAACATTGAGTGGGGTACTAAGGCTCTGACGCCTTCTTGACTGTCATCTGATAATTTCCATCTACACTGGCCTAGTAACAAATGTTGACTAGACACCTTCTCTGTGCCCAACTTCGTGCTAAGTGAGGCTGTAGAGAAGGGGAAAAAACCTGGCCTCTTTTCTTGATGGAACAGGAGAAATATGACCCTTAACTTGCTTTAAAAAATAATGGCAGAGTGAAAGAGAGTGTGGCAGAGTGGATAGACTGCTGGACTTGGAGTTAGGAGGAACTGAGTCCAAATATTACCTTTGACTCTTATTTACTGTGTGACTGCAGGCAAGTCACTGAAACTCTCTGTGCCAACTTAATTACAAAAGACCTTCATAGCTGTTTGCACACTGACAAAATCATAGTCCCTTTCTGAATTGATGCATAAACCTAGGTCCTCATTAGTATAAGTTTAATACATTTCAATTCATACTATTTGAATTCATAATTATGTGAAATATGGTCATTAGTTCCAACCCAATGGAAATATGCAGTAGGATTTCAAATAATGCAACCACTTCAGGAGATTCCCTCATCAAACTAATTTGGACTTCCCTCTATAATGGAGTGATAGATCACTTGAGACATAGCTTAGTTCAATTCAAAAAACTTCTATTTTCGTGCAATTTAATTTAACGTAGTTTTTTTTTTATATATTCATTTCAGTCCTGTACAATTTAGTTCAGTGCAATAACTACTGTGCACAGGTCCCCATACTTTTGTGGACTGGGTAGAAAATTTAGATAAGATAGGTCTCCCCTGCCTTCAAGTTGCCCAGTTTAGGAATCAGGTAGGTTAGGATGAGGAAGCAAGAGAAATAACTGGAATATACAGTAACACAAGATAAGTGCATGAGAAGGTTGCAAAATGAAATGAGATGTGAAGAGTGAAGTGACCCAGTAATCAGGGAAGAGGTGGTGGTGATCAAATTAAAGGAAGGGAAGGAGGAAGGGCATTCCCAGCACTAGGAAATGCCTGAGCAAAGGCATGGCAGCAGGAAAAGCAGGGCATTGTTAGGGCACAAGGTCTGCTCCAGTCTGACCTAAGCACAGAGCCCATGGAGGAAGAAGGGATAAGGTTAGAATGGCAGGATGCTGCCAGACTGGGGAGGCTTACTCTAGTATAAGGCCAAGCTAAGCAGGGTGAGCTCCACAGCAAAGAACCCTTGTAGATTTTGGAGGGCAAGAATAGCCTGGGCAGGGCCATGTGCAGGGCAGATGGGCCTGGCAGCTGATGGAAGGGTGGAGATAGGGAACCATGTATGGAAACTAACAGAAGACTCCAGGCAGGGTGTAAGGAGGACGTGTACCAGGGTAGTCCCAATGAAAAAGAGAGGAAGGAAAGGCTGGCAAAGCTGTTCTGGAAGCAACATGGAGAAGAATTGACAGTGGTATTGATTTTTGAGGTGAGGGAGACAGTGGGAATGAGACATTCCTCAAACAAAGGGATTCCCCTTTGGAATACTCCTTTGGGTATATCGTCGTGCCTCTGATTTTAAAATTCTAAAATCAGAAGGAGGGACTGTTTTAAGAAGGACAAATATGACCTCAGCATGTGACATGGAGAGTTTGGGATGCTGAAAAGGCATCTAGATGGGGGTGTTCTGAGGTTAGATAGAGGTCTTGAGCACAGAAGAAAGGTCAGGGATGGAGATGTAGGAATGAAAGTTATGTAACTTGAGTTGTTTGTTAAAGACTTTTAGTTAATTACAGGTACTACAATCGTTGAGAGAAAAGAGGATTAAAAACAGAACCTTGACCAGCCTTGGGCCCCCTACCCCCAAACTGGCTGAGATAAAGAGCCAGTGAAGGAGAAAGAGGAGTCCACAGAGAAGGAGGAGGAAGACCAGGAAAGGGTCTTTTCTCTGAAGTCAGTGGAAGAGAGAACCACAAATGTCCCAGAAGGGCTTGAGGGGAGGCCAACAATATCAGAGAGGTCACAGACAATGAAGACTCAAGGAAGTCCAGGGGATTTCTTTATCAGGAAGCCATGGATGACATTGGAGGAAACATTTCAATAGAATGGTGTAAGGTCTGGAATTCCCCTGGCTTGGAGAACCCTGTACTTCCCCCACATCTGTGGGGTGTTCTTTTTAATACCAAAGTTAAGTGTCTTCATATTAACTATAGGTAGTGAGTTAATCAATCATTATGAATACTTACAAACAGGTGCAATCTGGGGTGGCTACCAGACAGTTTTGTGGATCCCTTCTCAAGAACCCCAAAACCCCCATGGTAATTACTGAAAACAAAGGCAGGAGGAGCTAGAGAGTGCATCAGCACTGATTGGTGGATATTTTTGGTTTTCTGCTTAGTAAGGAGCTTGGGAGTCAAGCCAATGTTATGCCCAAAAGTGAGTTTGTGTATTGATCCTGTCCTGGTCACAATTTTCTTGTTTTGGCTTTAAGAGGTCATAGTATCTTAAGTTTTGACTCAGTGTCAAAGTTATGATTTAGTATCCAAGTTACGATTTGTAAACAGGTCACCATGTTTGGGCTTCCACCTTTCACAGGGTTCAAGTTTTTATGGCTTTTCACTTATTAATGCATTTTAGGGCTTTTCCCCAATACTAACCTTGCAAATGGTGGGGGAGAGAAATCCAGACTGAAGGGGACAGAAGAGAAATTGTAGCATGAAGCATGAGAGACTTTTGGGGGGAGGCAACTTTCCCTCCAATTTTAGGAGTGAAGGGATAGTTACTGGAGAGGGGTAAAACATCACTGAAAGCCTTAGAACTGGGGAGACCTGACTATACCTTTAAACCAATGGGAAGAAACCACTGGAAAAGGAGATACTGAAGATGTGTGAGAGAGGGAATGATTATGGAGCAGGGTCCTGGGGAGGGAAGGAGAAAAGGGGACAGGATTACTGCACAGGGAGAGGAATCAGCTTTAATGAGTAGGGAGGTCTCTCCTTCTGTGGCCAGAGGAAGAGAAGAGAAGGAGTGAGGATGAAGGAAGAGAAGGGAGAGGCCTCACACTCAGGCTGACACTGGGACTGTCTCACCAGGACTCAACTTCCCCATGGAACCTCAGAGCTGGAAGGGAGCTCAGAGACCACCATGTCCAGCCAGTAGCTGAAAGGAAATCCCTGAAATGCCTCAAACACGTGGTCATCCAGCCCCTGGCCAAAGACCTTCAGTAGAAGGATGCCTTGGCTCCTTCTGAGGCAGCCCATCCCACCTGGGGCACCTCTCCTGGGCAGGGTGGCTAAGTAGGCCCCCAACCACTTCTAGCTGTTCCCAATTCAGCCTCTGGGGCCAAAAGAAAGAAATTAGGCCCCTTCCACAATACATTGCCTCATCTGGTAGAAGTCAGAGATGAGGTCTCTAAGCAGTTAAAGGGCTGTCTCTTTGTACCCCATAAACAGACCCTATAATTTCACCTGGTACACAAACTGATTTAAAAGGGTTAAGCTTATTTCCCCAAGTAGACAAGGAGTTCCTCATGGGCAGGGCCTACATTGCTTGACTTTTCTCCCCTGCTCCTTCCCTACCCCAAGGGCCTAGACAGGTCTGGGTAGGCCCATAGAAGACTCTCAGTAGGGACATCTGGCCTTGAAAGAAAATCCTGGTCTGAAACATTTTAGAATGGGCCCAGAGCCAAGGAAGGGGAACTTCTGAACTGTGGACCAGGTCTAGCCCTGGAGTACACCAACCTCAAGAGGATGTCCCTCTGTCCATAGTTTCAGCTCAGAGGATAATTAGCCCCCTGAAATGCTGCCCTTTTGTAGAACAGAGTAGTTCCAATCTGAGGTTCCAGCTAGTAGAGACCTTATTCATCATTTATATCAAAGCTCTTATTTCACATTTGGGAAACTGAGGCCCAAAGCAGCAAAGGGACTTATTTATACTAACTCCCTGATAAGTGCCAGTGATGGGATTGGACCCGAATATCCCTACTCCAAGTCCATCTTTTTCTTTTGTTTAAAAGGAGGGTCTCCAGTTTCTCCTTTCACAAATCTGTCTTGCACAAGCTGGCAGATTCATCTCCCTAGGGGCAGCTAGGTGGCGCAGTGGATAGAGCACCGGCCCTGTATTCAGGAGGACTTAAGTTCAAATCCGGCCTCAGACACATAACACTTTCTAGCCGTATGACCCTGGGCAAGTCACTTAACCCCATTGCCTAGCCAAAAAACAAAAAACCAGATTCACCTCCTAAAACACAACTTGGGTCATATCACTTTAACTGCTCAAGAAACTTCCATGGCTCCCTATTGTTGTAGAGTCCTCTACAATCTGGTCACACCATAAACGTCCAATGTCATGGTTCCTCCCAATGCTCTATTGTCCATGTTAATGATGATGAAATTGAAGCACTAGGCTTCTGGGATTAGAGGAGATGGAAGGTTACTGGAAGAGGGGTAAGATGCTGATAGAGACTCTTTTGACATTGAAGAAGGTCATCTCTGGATGGGACCTTAGAGCTTTTATATAGAGGCCTCCTCTTCTATTTACCGAGGAAGAGACAAACCCAGTGACCTGTAGAAATTCACTTAGCCATTAAGGGATAGAGACACAATTTGAAACCAGATGTTCTGATTTTCCAAGTCTGGGGCTGTTTCTGCTCTCCTATATCATCCTGCTGCCCCAACCCCCTCCTGTTATAGGTAGAGGGTGACACCAAGACCCAGAGAATGCAATGGACCAATGTGACAGTTTAGTGAAAGGTTGATCCCAGGGCTGCTGGAGTCTAGGCTGCTCAGCTAAAAGCCAGAGAGAATTTCTCAATGGGGATGTCAGAACCAACCCCAGAATGGACTTTAGCACCTGTGGTATCAGGAGACCTGGTCTGGGTCTCAGGAGACATGGAGTCTGATCCTGTCTCTGTCATTACCTCAGTGGAACCCTGTGGACAGTTCTGTTCTCCTCTCTGCTCTCTGGCCCTCTGTCTAATGATGGGGTTGGACTAGATGTGATCTCAGGTTCCATCATCCTCTGAAAGTCTCTGAATCTATAAGGACACAGCTGTGAGGTAGTGGTAAAAGGACTGCATTGGGAGTCAGAGGACCCAACCTTCAGTCCTGGCTCTGTGATTTACAAAGTGAAGAAAGGAAGGCCTCTCTCTTTTATTTTCCTCTCTTTATACCGAGGCAGCTGGGCTCAATTCTTTCTAAGCTCTTTTCCCATTCTTCCATTCTCTCTTCTGAAGCCCTGGGGAACCTTGGTTTGGGGGGCTGTTTAGAGGCTGGGGGGGGTGGAGGAAGACTGCATCATCTGTGCACAAAGCAGTGTCCCTGACCAGGATTTCCTGAATCCTGATGCCCTCCTGATGCTCCCACCCCTAACCTGGGCCATAGGGATCAGGGTCTGGGGTTTCCCTTATCTAATTTCCACAATAATGGAGTTTGGGGATCTGTTTTCAGAGTGTCTCCCCACATCTCAGAAGACACTTCCTATAATGATTGCTGCTGTAGTCCTGGTGGTCTTCACTGGTTCCCTCATGGTGACTTGTTTCTTCTGCAAAACAAAATTCCAGAGGTAAGAGGAGGCCCCTGCCCTTTGGCCTTTAATCCTTCCATTACTCACTGGACCCTGTGATTATTGCTGTGAGAGGGATCTGAGGATCCCCTGATTTGCTGGCCCAAGGCGCCTCTCTTGGATCTGAACATATGGTCTGGCCCTGGGCTCAGGGACCTGAGCTTTGCTGGGATGACAGAGAAATTCCTCAGAGGTCCCTGTGCTAGGTGGGTTGTGTCAAAGGTGATCATCCACTGAGAGTCAGGAGGATGGATTCTTGGGGAGAAACCTCTTAGCCATGTTCTCACCTCAGCCTAATCCTCCACAGACCCTCCTCCAAGAATTGGTTTCTGGGTTAATTTCTAGGTCTAGGTGGGGGATGGGCGTTGCTGGGGCTGCCCTTTGCCAGGCTGCCTGTTCCCAGAGCTGTTCCCTTCAATACTTGAGTGTGCACCTGGTCCCAGGAACCAGCCCTAGTCAATCCCTGGGTGTCCTAGCCTGCTCTCTCTTACTCCCTTGGCCCTAACCCAGCCCTCCTCATTCCATGCCCTGCCCTTGTCCAGGCCTCCTACCCACAGGCTGACTCAGGGAATTAGGTAGTTTTTACTTGAATAAAAAAGTTAATCATTTCTAGGTGTGGTTTGGACTTTGTCTCATCTGACTCACTTAACTGCTTGTTGAAGCAGCCTGGTCCCAGGTGCCAGCTCCTCCCCCAGGCTCCTGGCAGTCCTGCTCCCTGTCCCTGACTCCAGCTTCTCTGTCCTGAATGAGGCTGCCTCCTCCCCATGCTCCTGCCCCAGTCAACTGAGACCCTAGACTGAGAGGAGACAGCTGGGTCATATCCCGTAGGCAGTAGACTATCTACCTGGAACCCAGGTAGGGCCCCCAGCCCCCTGATTTGTCACCTGTTGCCAGAGGCTATGTCCCTTCGGTTGTCAGGCATTCTACCCTGCCCTTTGCCAAGAAGATTTTTATTTGTCCAGTTGAATTGGGTCTTTCAATTAAAATTTATTTTAGAAAACAAATTTTAAATTAATTTCCTTAAGATTTGATTGTTATATATCACTTATTTTTATCTTCTGTCTAATTTGGTTCTTATGGATCCCTTTCCATTTTTATTTTCACACATCCTGGCTGTGTGACCTTGGGCTAGTCACCTCCCTCTCTCAGAGGGAGCAGAGGAGGCATGGACCAGCATTGCCAGTGAAAGTCTCTCCTCCAGAATACTCTAGACCAATGAAATCTCAAGTCCATTCCCTTATCCTTCAGAAAACCAGTTATAATTGCTTTCAAATGTCCTATCATTTAGAAAATAATTTAGTTTAAATCTGTGTGGTTTTAAATGACTTTTATTTCTTATTTCTTCATTTACAAGTATATTACATTTACTTCATCAAGATATTGCTAACCCTTATAAAACAACTGATTTTGTTACATTATCAGCAGAGATTATTCCATGATGTCCAGCTCCAGAAGAAGGACAGAGAAGCAGCAGGGACCCACCTCCCTCTCCTGGGAAGCTCCAGCTTCCCCTCAGGCCACCAGCTGGAGAATCTATTGATCCTTTCTTGAAACAGGAAGGGGAAGGCTGGGCAGTATGACTAGAGAACAGGGCCTTGTTTTGTCCCCCCTTTCCCTCCCTACATCGAGGACCATATGCAGTACAATCATGTTAAACACATTAGTCATGTTGTGCAAGAAGAATCAGAATAAAAATCCATATGTTCTAAAATGTTTATTGTGCTCTCTTTGTAGTGGCAAAGGACTGGAAATTTCAGGAATGCCCATCAATTGAGGAGTGGTTGAACATGTTGTGGTCTATGGTTGTGATGGAATACTACTGTGCCGTAAGAAATGATGAGCTCAGGGCAGCTAGGTGGTACAGTGGATAGAGCATCGACCTTGAAATCAGGGGGACCCAAGTTCAAATCTGGCCTCAGATCAAACACTTGACAATTACTAGCTGTTTGAGCCTGGGCAAGTCAACCCCAATTGGCTAAAAAAAAAAAATTGAAATTAAAAAAAAGAAATGATGAGCTCAATACTCTTAGAAAAACATGGAAGGACTTGCATGAAATGAAGAGTGAGATGAGCAGAACCAAGAAAATATTGTATATAGTAAATATTGTTTTAAGAATGACTTTGAGTGAATAAGTTATTTTGAGTATTATAATTAACCAAATTAACCATAAAGCACATAGAAAGAAGGACACTATCTGCATTCAGAAAAAGAACTGAAAAATAGAAGTCTGTATGCAGAATATGTATGGAGGCTAATGGAAGACTCCAGGCAAAGGGTTGTTTGTGCCAGGGTGGTCCCAGTGAGAGTAGAGAGGAAAGAAAGTCTAAGAAAGCTGTTCTGAAGACATAGGATGAAGATAAATTGGTCCAAGTTTAAGCTTCCTCCTCCCATGGATGCTGTGTATATTTGTGGGAAGGAGTGAACCTTGTTTTTAGGAGAACATTTTATATGAATTGTCTTTACCATGTCATCTGTGATTAGAAGTAGCTGCCCTTGATGGGGATGGGACCTGGACCCCAAAAAGCCCTTGAACTTTCTCACCCACTTCAGCAAGCAAGACCCTGGTTTTCCCTGAGGCCTCTGGCCCATCCCAGTATAATCCTTTTTACTGCCCTTTCATTGTGGTCCTCCTTGTCTGTAGCTGGCCCACCCCAGGCTACTTGCTACTACTTGATCCCATCCAGATCTTCTCACAGTCTTTCTGTATGAAAATAACAATCTTATCTCCATTAAATTTCACAGATTCCTTAAGAATCTGGTCCATTTGTATTGGCTTCAGAATACGGCAGCCTCACTAGGAATCTCACCCACCCAACCAGTGTCTTAGGTGTCTTAATAATCCCACTGCTTGAACTGAAAGGAGGCTTGAGTGGTCAACTTCTTTCGTGGCAGATCTCCTGTCCTATACCCTTGTTTTTTGGGGTTCTTAGCACCCCTAGACCACAGGGTCAGGTGAAGAATTCACTTCAGCCTTCTATTTCAGCCATCAGGAGCACAGACCTTTATTGTAGTAGCAAAGCTACAATGGAGGTACTGGATTTACAGAACTTGGCTTGTATAGACAGAAAGCTACACAGCCAGTAGATGCAGGATGATAACCTGGTTTTAGGGTCTCATGGTAGTTAAAGATTCACAGTGTGGGGAGACACAGGTTAAAGATTAAGGGCAGGACAAGGAGGATACAGGTTAAAGATCAAGGTCAGGACAAGGAGGATACAGATTAAAGATCAAGGGCAGGGGGAACACAGAAAAAAGGGAGACAAGAGCAATTCTTTTGGTACAGGTTAAGGAGAAGTTTTATGGTCTTCCAAGATAAGGGGAAAAAGACGTTAGGATGCTCCCAAGTTAAGGATGAGCTATGGAATGAGTCCCCCCTCAGGAGGGGCCTCACAAAATACTGAAAAAGCAACCCTTAATCTTCTTTTTAACCCCTAGGGTACCATTGGTATCCATGTCATAATGATTAAGAAATCCAATGAAATTGTGAAGTAACTTCATTTCAAAATTGCACAAAAAATCAGCCAGAATCCAGTGGGCAATGGCATAGGGAGACACTAGTAAAACCAGGGCCAGCACAGGCAAACATGACCAGTCATGGAAAAGAGACATGTATGCAAACTGCAAGGCGCTGTTTGGAGGTCACAAGAAAGGAGGGGCCCTTGAGAAAATACTGGGGCAGTCAGAAAAGCCCAGAGCAAAGACTTTGGGTGACCTGGGTAAGGGCAGTGACCAGGGCAACAGGAAAGTGTCCATTACTAGATAGCCCAGGCACCAGGGGTTCTGATGAGCCCAGCCCTCTGTCCTGAGATA